ATAGATAGATAGATAGATAGATAGATAGATAGATAGATAGATAGATAAAACTGGGCCCAGGGGTCCCTGCAGAGACTGATACCCCAACCAAGGACCATGCATAAACAAGACCTAAGACCCCTGCTCAGATAAAGCCCATAGACTCAGTCTCCAAGTGGGTCCCTAGTAAAGGGAGCAAGGGTTGTCTCTGGTATGAACTCAGAGGCTGGCTCTCTGATCACCTCACCTTAGTGTGTGTGTGTGTGTGTGTGTGTGTGTGTGTGTGTGTGTGTGTGTGTGTGTGTGAGGGGGTGCAGCCTTGGGGTGCAGGCCACAAAAGAAGACAATGCAACTAGTCCTGATAAGACCTGATAGGCTAGGGTCAGATAGAATCAGAGGAGGACCTCCCCTATTAGTGAACTAGAGGAGGGACATAGGGGGAGAAGAGGGAGAGAGAGTGCAGTTGGGAGGAGAAGAGGGAGAGGGCCACAGCTGGGATACAAAGTGAATAAATTGTAATAAATAATAAAGAAAGAAAGAAAAAATTCAAGTATTAAATATATATTAATATTCATAATTTAGGATTACATTAATGTTAATCATTTTTTCTAGCAAAAAAAGAAAAAAAATGTTGTTTCAATCATTAATCCCAAATTTCAAATTCAAGAAAAAAATCCATTGAGAAGTTATATGTATATATATTTTTTGTATTTATTATCATATAGTCATTTGACATGTTGATGGTTTCATAAATATAATTTTATACGTGAATATCATGTACTTTGAACATATTCACCCAACTTTTTTCTTTTCTTCCTTTAAGGTATTTCCATTGTTTCTCCAATGTAGTCTTGTTTCTAGCTTTATTTCCCATATGTAAATTATTTCTTGTATCTACATAAAAAATTGAATCCTACACTGAAATAAAACAGTAGCATTTGTCTTTCTGTATCTGCCTCATTACACTCAATATTATGCTATCCAGTAGCGTCCTTGTTCCTGTAAACAACATAATTGTGTTCTTCCTTACAGCTTTAGAAAACTGTACTGTAAATTTACACTCCACCTTTTTATCCACAGTACACTTAGACTATTTACACATATTTGATATTTTATAAAATGTAATAACCATTGATGTACACATATCTGATGATAAGATGCTCTTACCCTGAGTCCTTTCTGCATGTACCCAAATTATGGGTTTGGTGTGGTAGTTATATTTTTCAATTTTGTTTTACCTTTATACACATTTCTGTGGCATCTAAACTAATTTCAATCTCCACTAGCCCCACATAAATTTCCCACTTTCTCTGCAATAGCATCAGCATTTATTTTTTCTTTTTTTCCTTTTCATTTTATTTATTTATTTATTTATTTATTTATTTATTTATTTATTTATTTATCACTATACATGCCAGTCCTAGACCCTGCCTCCTGGTGCCTCCCCCCATCTTCTTTCTCTTAATCCTCAGAAAAGGGGAAACCCACCCCCTACTCACCCACTCCAGCATATCAAGTCCCATCAGGACTGAGCTCATCCCCTTCCCCTGTAGCCTGGCAAGGAACCCTCACAAGGGGAACATGATCAAATAGCAGGCAACAGAGTCCATGTCAGAGTCTGCCCTCACTCCTCCTACAGAGAATTCATGTGAAGACCAAGCTGCCCATAAGCTACATCTGTGTAGAGACCCTAGGTCCAGTCCATGCATGGTCCCTGGTTGGTGATTCATTATCCACAGGACACCCTGGGCCCTGATTTGATGACTCTAGTAGTCTTCTTGAGGAGCTCCTGTCCCCGCTGCATCCTTCGATCCTTCCTCCCACTCTTCTACAAGACTCCATATGCTCCACCCAATGTTTGGCTGTAGAGCTCCACATCTGTTTCCATCAACTGCTGGGTGGATCCTCTCAGAGGACAACTATGCTAGGCTCCCTTCTGCCAGTACAGCAAAGTGTCATTAATAGTGTCAGGGGTTGGCTGTCTCCCATGGGGTGGATCTCAGGTTTGTCCAGGCATTGGTTGGACATACTCTCAATCTCTACTTTTGTCCCTGCACATTTTATAGGCAGGGTAAATTTTAGGTCAAAGTTTTTGTGGTTGGCTTGGTGTTCTTCTTTCTTCAATAGGAGTCCTGTCAAGTTAAAAGCCTTTCCAGGCTTCATGACCCCTGCTACTAGAAGTCTCAGCTAGAATCACCCTCATATCCTCCAAGGAACCTCCCCTGTCATAGGTCTCCAGCTTGTAACAGAGATGCCCCTCTTCTGCAAGCCCATTGTTTTCCAGGCCACACTCTCCACGGGCCTGATATCTCCGTGCTCCCTCTCTCACCCTGTTCCTTCTCGTCAACCAATTCCACTATCCATTCTATTTCCCCTTCTGAGTAAGATTTAAGCATCTTCCTTTGGGTCCTACTTGCTACTTATCTTCATAGGGTCTGTGAATATGTTTATATGGCTAAAAACCATTTAAAAGTGAGAACATATCAAGTGTGTCTTTCTGGGTCTGGGTTACCTCACTCACGATGATATTTTTTAGTTCCACCCATTTGCCTTAAAATTTCATGATGTTTTTGTTTTTAATAGCTGATTAGTATCCCACTGTGTAAAAGTACCACAGTTTTCTTATCCATTTTTCCATTGGGGGACATCTAGGTTGTTTCCAGTTTCTGGCTATTCTGAATAAAGCTGCTATGGACATAATTGAGCAAATGCCCTTGTTGTATGATGGAACATCTTTTGGGTATATGCCCATGAGTGGTATATCTGTGTCTTGAGGTAGAACTATTTCCGATTTTTGAGAAAGTGCTAGATTCCAAAGTGGTTGCACAAGATTGCACTCCAACCAGCAATGGAGGAGTGTTTCTCTTTTTCCACATCCTTGCCAGCATGTACTGGCACTTGTGTTTTTGATCTTAGCCATTATGATGGTATGAGGTTGAATTTCAGGGTCATTTTGATTTGCATTACCTTAAAGACTAAGGATGTTGAACATTTTTTTATTTAACTTTTATTAATTACATTTTATTCATTTTGTATCCCCCCATAAGCCCCTCTCTCCTCCCCTCCCAGTCTCACCCTCCCCCCTCCTCTCTGCATGCATGCCCCTCCCCATGTCTACTGATTGGGGAGGTTCTCCTCTCCTTCTTTCTGATCTTAGTCTATCAGTTCTCATCAGAAATGGCTGCACTGTCAGGGTTCTAGGTTGTCTCCATGGATAGTCCTTGGTTGGAGTATGAGTCTCTGGGAAGTTCCCTGTGTTCAAATTTTCTTGTTCTGTTGCTCTCCTTGTGGAGTTCCCATCTTCTCCAGCTCTTACTATTTTCCACTTCTTACATAAAATTCCATTCATTCTGCCCATCAGTTGGACATCTTTTTTTAATTTTAATGTTTCTTTTTTATATTAATTACATTTTATTCACTTTGTGTCCCAGCTCTAGCCCCTTCCCTCATTCCCTTCCAACCCCACCCCCTTCCCTCATCTTCTGTGGCCTGGTAAGGATGTTCCTCCCTCAGGGAGGAGTAGGCCAATCAGTTCATGTCAGAGGCAGTCCCTTTCCCCATTACTATGGAACCCACTTGGACACTAAACTGCCATGGGCTACATCTGTGCAGCAGTTTTAGGTTATCTCCATGCATGCTACTTGGTTGGAGTATGAGTCTCAGGAAAGAGGCCTGTGCTCAAATTTTCTGGTTCTGTTGCTCTACTGGTGGAGTTCCTATACTCTCCAGATCTTACTATTTCCCCCTTCTTTCATAAGATTCCATGCATTCTGCCCAAAAGTTGGCCATAAGTCTCAGCATCTGCTTTGATAGTCTGCAAAGCAGAGTCTTTCAGAGGCCCTCTGTGGCAGGTTCCTAACTTGTTTCCTGTTTTC